TTTACCTTTTCTTTTTCTCTCGTTTTTGTGTACTGCTCAGCGGCGCCTCATGGGTTGGTTGGATGTTCAGTGTTCAGAAGCATGGACAGGAGCTAAGGTGGATATTGCGTTTCCTGTACTTTGTTCCACTTTCAATCTCAGTCGATATGTCAGTACAGACATGATGAATGAACTGGTTTCACATCCAATTGCATTGCACCTTGGCTGAGCTACAGCTATATTTGCTAACGGTACGTATCGGATTGTCTCCCTGTGCTACCTACTTTGTAGTTCGTGTATTTCTTTAGCGGCCATTAGTATGACCTGGCAGCCTCGGCGTACCATAAGAATCATGTAGATCTTCGACAGTTCCAATCACAGTATTGGACCTTAACATTATGTATGTATTGTTCCCTGTAGTGCATGTCGACTTGCTACTAGTACTACGAGTAGTTGAACTAGCGTGAAGTATGCATCTGTGCACGTGGAGGCTATTGCTGCCTAAGGCATTAGTCAGTCACGGGTGTTTTAGCTTTTTTTGTTTGGTTTTTTGATTTGAGTCTTTCGTCAACCGCGGTTCATCATCGCCGACTCCTATTCCATTCTCCTGGGAGAGTGTAAGAAAATCCCAACGCTTTGCTTTGACTACAAGGCACAATAAGCCATATTCAACCTTTCGTCCTGTTGTTACAATCGTCTTTGTTTCCTACTACGACTTAAGTGGCCATTTCGTGTTCGGCCCCGCTCTGTTGCCCTGGATACCATAAATTTCAACGTGTGCCAATCTGTCATTTGACGAATTTCAAACAACTAACGTCCATTTGGTGAAGCTTTAGATGAAATCCATCGCCCACCTGCAGTTCATTATCAGTAATATTTTGCTGTGGTGAACATCGCAACCACAATTTCCATCATGGCGGATGACTTGGACTATCTCTCGCCTGATTTCGACCTTAATTCACTGACAGTACCACGTCTGCGGTCCATTCTAGTCAGCCATGATATTCCATATCCGGCCTCTGCGAAGAAGGCGCAGCTTATACGAATTCTGGAGGATGAGGTTCTACCTCAGGCGAGGAGATTACTGCGGGATCGAGAGCGAGTGAGGCGAACGAGTGAGGGGATTACAGATATGGGAAGTCGCGCGACATCGGTAGTGAGTGATTTCAATGATCGACAAGAGGATGACGGGAGAGATTCAATGCCGCCCCCACCAACACCTTCGACGGTCTCAACGGTAACAGGTGGGAGGCGAGGACGGTCGAGGATGAGTACGCGAGCCTCGACCGCCGACGTTGATGATAGAAACATTCCTGCCACGCCGTCCACAGTTTCTAGACGCACAGCACCGAGATCAGAGTCGAAGCGCCTTCGCGCGTCAGAAAATCAATATCATCATGACACCCCTGCAACACCGATCGCCGCAGACACCGTTACTCCCCGAAAATCGACTGCTAGAAAACTACGAAGAAGCGAGATGACACCATCGACTGAGCCAGAGCCCATGGCACGGTTAATAAAAGAAGAGCCTAAGGAGGAGAGCGTTTTCACCTATGACAACCCGTTCCAGAGTGGCAGTTCTCCTGCCCCGTGGTCCGAGAAAAAGCGAAAAAGTGGATCGCTATTCCCGACTGAGAGCCCTGCTTTGGACCAGGGCCTGCGCGCTAGGAAGTCTGACGCGTTCATTAAACAAGAAGACGGTGCTACTGTATCCAGGCGATCTTCCTTCCAATTGCCCATCTCGAAGTTGAAATCACCCCGCAGGCAACTCGAATCTATGTCGGATGATGACGAAGAAAGTGAGCTCAGTGCTGGCGAAGAATTCACACCGGAAGAACAACTTGCATTAGAAAGGGAACAGGCGGACTTGTGGTACCCCCCTGCCCCGAACCGTCAACAAAATCAAGGATCAACGAGTCGCGCAGCTCCTTGGGTCATTATCCTACTGTTGCTTGCTGGATTTAGTGTTTGGTGGCGTAAAGAGAAGATTGAGATTGGATTTTGCGGCATTGGAAAGCACACTTGGTCATTGGCCGAGACTAGGATTCCTGAGTGGGCTAACGTCTTGGAACCCCAATGTGAACCTTGCCCTGCCCATGCATTCTGCTATCCCAACTTTGAAGCACTCTGCGAGCATGACTTTATTCTGAAGGCGCATCCTTTATCGCTTGGAGGCTTAGTTCCCCTGCCTCCGACTTGCGAGCCTGACAGTGAGAAAGCGCGGCGCGTCAAGGCTGTTGCTGATAAAGCTGTGGAAGAGCTGCGTGACAGAAGAGCCAAATGGGAATGCGGGGAACTCGCAGATGACGGTCAAGGAGTAGAAGGGCCAGAGATCAGTGAATCAGACTTGAAGCAGGAGGTAGGAAGAAAGCGCCGGAAAGGAATGAGCGATTCCGAGTTCGATGATCTATGGAAGGGGGCGCTGGGTGAAATCCTCGGCAGGGAAGAGGTTATTAGCCGAACCAAGACGTAAGTTGCTCTTTTCTTTCGATATATTGTCTCCACAGCAGGCGGGTTTCTAGGCTAGCGCCAGAGGATTATGGTTTCTGACGTGTATACGGAACTAACAGAGGCGACACTACTATTACAGACCATCTTCTGTCTTCACCCTCACCTCGACATCAGTCAGTCGGCTCCCCCTTACGTGCGCCTTCCGCCGCTACGTCCGACTCTCTCTCCTCGCGTATCGACTCCCTCTTTCAGTTTTAGCCATCTGTGCATGCGCCGTGATGTATGCACGCTCAAGAGTCCTTGCTCGCCGGTCTGATATGGCACGAGTCCCCGAACTGGTAGCCACCACGCTCGATCGCCTTGCGACACAGGCCGCTTTGCATGCTCGCGGCGAAGCCCGTGAGCCTTATATTCCAATTGGACAATTGCGCGACGACGTCCTTCGATCTGAATTGCGTGGCAGTCGGCGTGAAGAACTATGGCGACGGGTTCGCAGTGTCGTTGAAGGGAATGCCAACATTCGAGCTGCCGTGCGAGAGGGTCGTGGTGGTGACGTTGCTCGCGTATGGGAATGGATTGGCGGCATAGGCAGTGTTCGCGGAGACATTGAAGGATCTGCGACACGGCCGCGCGACAGCAGCAACCTGCATTTGTCGGCCTCGCCTCATGAGCAAAGTCGTCAGCCGATGGACAACCACGCCCATTCTTTGGATTCAGCACCGCCCCGTCGATGGGACGAAGGCAGGCCTATCTACTGAAAACCACTCTTTAGTTCCCTAACCCTAGTCCTTTCTCCTATTATCCGCATACTCTAATCATCTGCACCTCTTTATTCGTGGTACCCCTAAATGGTTTTTCTTTATCCTTGGAAAGGCCCTCTATCTCTTCTATGAACGATTCTGTTTCGCAGTAGATAGCTTCCAGTTTCCTTTCCTTTCTTTTATTCTCTTTTTTCTTTCTTTTTTTTTTTTTTTTTTTTCCTACTCTAGTATCGATAATGTCTTGGCACTTCACGGCCTTTTACGAAGTGGTTGAATGCTTTTGGAGGGGATTAGAGACAAGGGGTGAGCAAAGAACATAATGACAATAATGTGAAATCGTGGGTCTAAAGGTTGTCGTCGCTGATCCTGCTCCGGGAGGAGGAGTAATACAAAGAGTACTAGTAGGAAGGGGAATTTGCCACAGCTTCCTGAACCAATAATGCACGATCCATGGGATCGGATCCTCGAGTCTATTTTAATTTTAAACTGGGATTTTGCCCTTCATCTCGCCTGTTTTCTGTCGATCCATCGCTAGCGTGTGTTCTGCATAGGCATTTCCTGTCGTCAAGTACCGATCATGCGTGAGTCGTATGAGTAGATCCCTTTGTGGCGAGGAAGCCGGCAGTCTTCCGTTTAGGTCTTGAGCTGGAAGGTATTCGATGCTTCCAAGCTGGGCAAGTGTCTGTATTAGGTAGGAACCCACCCCTAACTATTTGTGGGGTTGGTAAGAGACCGCTTGCTATATAGTCTGGGTCTTGAAAATTGTATACGAATTGAAGGCCGGTTGAGTGGAGAATCATTGACCTCTTTCCTCGTCTTTTATTTTTATGTTTGTATTTTCTCTCAAAGAACATTAATAATACTAAAATCAAATCAAATCCTCGTTTTCCTGGTTCTCTATCTCGTCCCTTTTGAGGAGGTTTGTGAGTCGTGACTCGTATACATACTCTAGAAAATCGGAGTACGGGAATGAGGGTATCGGACTGGAATTCATCGGTGACGGTACTCCGTCCATAATCCGAGTCATACATACTAAACTAGTTCCATACTACTATCTCAATCACCACGCATAAGACACTATTCCTAAAGGGGACTAGCGGAAGGTGCAAACAGCTGGGCTGGATCACGTGTGGTGGCATCTTTGTTTCGACCGTCAGGATTCGAGGCTTGCGTCGAATGTTGTAAGAGCTGTAAGGGAGTGACGGTGTCTCGAACCGCAAAATTTCCCCATCCCCATTGGGTTTCCATGACATCTGGCCGCATCAGCTTCATGTGGTACCATGTTTAATGGCTCAGTTTAAGCTTCGATGACTGAACCATAACAACATGCCCGCTTGGTCAGGCGATCCTTTGACGACGTTGATAATGTTCAATTTAGAAAGGTGGTCGTCACCTATCAACAATGAAATAAACGTACTGGTTTTCGATGAGAACGGGAGAACGAAATGCTGCTCCCCACCGGGCTAAATCTCTGGACATCTACACGTTTCCGATGATTCGTGCACCCAGCCTATCAAAAAAGACGGAGAAAGTATCCGGGGTCAAGCTGCCATAGAATTCGTGCAGAACGCCAGCCCAGTGCCCACTACGTTTAGCCCCCGTGGCCACTGGGGCTTCTGCCGCCGAATCAGCAAAGCGCCCCTTCGCCAGAGGATTTTACGCGATCTGCATTGAAATCCTCTCGGACGATGATGAACGGAGAAGGATTCAAGGTGAAAGATGAAGTAGAGCCAATGAAAGGACATCAATCAGACGGTGACGGTACTGAATCAGGTAGGACGACTTTGACCAGTTTTACTACGGACTACCCATCTACAACCGACCTGACCGGCAAACCCAACATGGTATCCCAACGGTTGTTCGACCATGGCGTCGGGCCCTCGGTTACATAATTTGATGGCTCCGTCATCCTAAGGACCCAACCAGGGATCCAGTCACTATCCCATTTCACGAAGCGTATCGCGGTCCTGGTCGGGATTTTTTTCAGAGCCTAATGGTTGTTTCTACGCGCGGTATCCCTTCGTACCTGGAAACTGTCTGCGGCCTTCTGGGAACGGCCCGTACGCAGTCCCCCTGCGAGCTGTTAACTCTTGCTTTCTTTTGTGTTCTGTTTCCCTTTTTTTCTATTTTTTGATTTTGATTTTTGATTTTTCTTTTTTTCTTTTCTTCTTTTTTCTTATTTTCGCTTTTCTCCTTCGTTGTGCAGCCCACCCGCCCACCTTAGTTTCCCTTGTGGCTGATAGCCTCTCGCAGTCAATGCAAGCACTACAGAAGGATCTGCCTTGGTGTTTAACAGTTCATCCATGATCCCCTTTGCTCGAGCATGATCGGGTCAACCTCCTTAGGATAGATGCCACCTCCTTGTGAGGAGCATGTAATAAGAAGTTCTATCGAGAACCTCACCCAGCACCTTTCTAGGTTCCATCTTCTCATTCTGTTTTCGTCTTTTGTTGTTGACTTAGTCTTCCTTTCTTAATCAATATACCTTTCTATAGACCATGGCCCAACAAGGGTCATCGAGACCATTTCGCCCCATTGCACCGCGAACGCTTCCAGATCCTCTGCCGCCGCCGCCTGCCCCTCCGGGAGGTGGAGTTGAAGAGGTCAAGATAAGGAGAGCATCTGCAGCTTGCACTGAATGCAAAAGACGTCGAACAAAGGTACTTAATCTTTTCGTTTGGTTGTCTTGGGGTGATATCATTCTGTTGTCTCCTTCACTCTGCTTACTTAATCGACCGGTCTCTGGCTCGTTCCTGATTCCCTCCATATAAACACTCATTAATTTCTACTAAGTTCTAATCTCAATGTTATTTTTACTATAGTGCAGCGCTGATACCACCGGCCCTCCCTGCGCTGAATGTGCGCTCCATGGACGTGATTGTGTGATCGATGAGTTCGCAGACAAGCGGCGTAAGGTCGCGGCCAGACGTGCCCAGGAGGAATTGCGATATTATCGTGGATTTGTGGAGCAGCTGCTGAAGGCAATCCGGCATGGTGAGGGAACAGATGTGAAAGCAATTGTTGCCGTCATCCGGTCGGGTGCATCTCACGACGAAATCCGTGCTGTTGTTCGAGGGCTCTTGAAGCGGGACGCGACAGGGGAGGAAGATATGCCGGACGGCGTAGCGCAGGGAACAGAGACCGACGATACATCGAAAGACTTGACCCCCGAAGGTTGGTCTTGATCAAGGTTATTGGATTTTGCTTCAACTTGGGAATCGATCACCCATAACGGCCACACATCGCCCTACCGTAATTGATCTTCCGCTACATCTTTATCATCACCCTTGTTGTCGTTGGACTGATCATTTCGAGCGCCGTACTTGTTTGCTTGAGAATCCTGCAGATCACTGCTGCACATGACTTAACCGATACATACAGAGATACAAAAGGAACAGAAAGAACCCGGGAAGTTTATTGCGCATTCTACTGTGGCTACTGACTACGTACTTTGATTTAAATCTTGCCACCTGTCTCCTTCGATCGACTTTCTTCGAATAACCTTTCATGTCCTCCGCAGTTTTCGGCAAACCGAAGCCGTGTCGGGGGAAGACTTTCAGCCCATACACAAACCGCGTGATTTTTGATTTTCCCGGGGCATTATTGCAAGATACCAAATTCGTGGGTCCTACTCTTATTGTGCCCAGTATGGGACACCCTGCGGCAGGAACAGGTTGGCCGTCGCATCGGCTGGTGGGCCCACGGTTGTTAACCTTCTATTTAGCAAAACAAGGATGCCCGATCAATATCTGGGCAGGCACAACATCAGGCCTACATTTCATGGGGCGATGGTGTTTGTTTTCCTTTCTTGCTTTAACGCTTGTGACAGCGATGAATTTGAGTCCTGCTCTCGCTCCACGCATTAGTCACAACAAATTGAAACCCAGTCCCACTATGTTCTTTCTCCGAATGCAATTCCAGTATCAAATATAGGATTAATCGGTCCTAGATAGAGGCCGGCATACGGTCCAAAACTACCAACGGTTGTCCTCGCAGGCTGAGAATCAACCAGACATTAGGACATTGCACATACGGCTGGCCTATCCCTTTTGTATCTGGCAGTTGGCTAGGTCATATTTCCAATTTGATCGACCCTACCCCGAAAGTTGGACCTGTTCATGGGGTAGTTCCGCCCACGAGCCAATGGTGGGTCGGTAATGACCGCACCCGTTGGCTTGGTTGCATGTATCCGATCCCTCCTGGGAGCGTTGACACGAATCTCAAAGGTGGGACACACTAGTCGTAGAAGTTAGTGTGAGGCATGATGCTCATGATCAACCAATTCCGCTAGACCCTGTGTCCCTTGGGGGAAACTTGACCGGCCGCTGCTGATACGGTAGGCCATTAGAATCGCAGCGGTGTTCCCTTCGAGTTTTTCGGTTATGTATGTTTTCCGGCACTTGCAGGGCCAACATTTGCGGGGCTGTCGGCTTTATAACTCTCCATTTTGGCGGGTATGGCTACTTCTTTTGTTCCTAATCTGCTTTTCAGTCGGGGGAACCGTGGAAAGAAATCGTGCTCATATTCTATCCTCGTCATGGGACCCGTCAGTGGGTGACTAAGCCAACCAGGTGACCGGCAAATAACCGGCTTGTCTTGTTTCCGATCTTTCTCACTTTCCATAACGATCTTCAATCAATATTCGGTGCTCCCTCTCAGTAGAGTCTACGAGCGGAGCAGCACCCTCGCCATTTTCTCCCTCTCCATGAATGCTAATCTGTTCGCATATGCTTGAGAAATAGCGTCATGATGCTTTTGTATAGATACTTCGGAATTGAACCGCTTCGGCCCCGGGTACTCTTTGCCGGGACTGTGGAGTCACTAAGTATACTTTAGTTCCAGACCCCCGCACGTCAACAGAATCCGTTCAATCCCCGGAAATTTCTCCTGGTGAAAACCGTCATTTCGCTTTCTCACGTTTACCTTGAACAGGTGAGAGATAAAAAGAAAAAAAAAAAAAAAAAAAAAAAGAAAAAAGAAAAAAGAAAGGAAAGACAGGGGCAGAGCGGGGCTATTACTCATGCAATCTTTAGTAGTAGCTACTATCAAGTGACGTGCCTCCTACCGATCCGATGGCGGCAAGTCTCATTAGGGCAGATGCGCAGCCGTCGCTCGGAAATGCTTGTCATACTAGAAGTGCTACGGGTCTGGGGCCGAGCGAGAGCTTTCATCCGGGGCAGAAAAGGAAAGCGTCTGAGTCACCATTAACGCCCAAGCCAAGCAATGCAAGACAGAAAATCACGAGAGCCTGTGATCACTGCAAGGAGAAAAAGACCCGATGTACTGGAACACTTCCGTGTATGAGATGTACGAGACTCTCGCTTCCCTGCGAATACAATGCCGCCTACTCTAGAGGCCTTCCTCCTGAACCTCTGCCCGCGCCCCCGTCGGTAGCGGCTGATTATGCAAACCAAAATCATGCTCTCTCACCGGCATATACTAACCGGAGCTTTTCTTCCCAGCGGTCGACAAGGAGCTATTCCCGGGGTGTCACTTCTTCACATCAGCAGCCTAAGAATGGCGCTGAGATTTCAGGTCGTACTTCACCCGACCCCGTGGTCACTGATTTCGAGGGCAATTACCTTGGTCCTGCGTCGGGAGTCTCCTTCCTTAACCGTGTTTGGCGTCGTCTGCACCAAGATGAGATAGGGGCGGTTCCTGATGAATACCAAAAAGAGTCGTCCTCCAGGAGTACGTCCGTGTTCATGTTTGGTGATAGGCCCTACTCAGACGACCGGGAATCGGGCTTTACCTTTCCCTCTATTGAGCGCGCCCGAGAGCTGGTTGAAATATATTTCGACTTCTCAATGGTCACATACCGTTTTCTACATAGAGGAACTGTGGAGCATTGGCTGAAGCAAGTGTATGAAAGCAATATATCTTCCCTGAATCCACCTACTGGCCCAATGGTAGCTCGAACAGCTATTGTTCTTATAATATTTGCTGTAAGTTCACTATATGAAGAACTGAAACCAGAAAATGATATCGACGTTTGGAATGGGAGGTAAGCACGTATACTGCCGCCTTCACAGATTCTTAAAGAAATGCTGAACGCTTGTAGCGAGCGATGGTACGCTGCTTCAAAATATCTGCTATCCCTAGAGTCAGGGCCTCCCCGGCTAGAGTCAGTTCAAGCGAGGTTAGGTCAATGCCTTTACCTACTTTCATCATCTCGAGCCAACGAATGTTGGTACGCTTTTGGGACCGCGCTGCAGCTTGTGACGGCCTTAGGGTTGCACCGAAGATGCCCTGCGAAGTTGTCGAAGAATGGCAATACCTACTTGGAACGTGAAATTCGTAAACGGATCTTCTGGAGTACCTACACTCTGGATAAATATCTCAGTGTCATGTTCGGGAGGCCGAGGCTTATCCACGAAGAAGATCATGACCAGGAGCTTCCGGATGAGGTCAACGACGAAGATATGTTAGAGGAGGATGCACGCCGAAGGACAGGGTCGCCTGACTGTATGATGATTGCATCCGTTCTCCACTACCGGTTTGTCCTCCCCTGAGTTGCTCATGCTGAACTCGCAGCTCATCACCTTGCTTGTAGACTTGGCCGCATACTTGGTGAAGTTTCCCGACAACTATATACGATCAATCCTCGATCTCGAGAGCCGCCCCTCGAAGTGGCTGTACGGCTCACTTCGAAGTTGGAGGAATGGAAAAAGGCCGCACCGCCTTTATTCAACAGTGTTCGTGCGACAAGTCTCATCCCACCTCTGTGTAGACAAAGCCAGGTTTTACAACTCGCATATTCGCATTCGATTATCCACGCCACTAGGTTATTTCTCCTAAATGATTTCACGGATCTCAGTCGCAGGCCGCCAAATTCACATTCCACGGTAACAAGCCATGTGCACAAATGTATAGGGGCCGCCGAAGACGTCATGAAGATCGTGGATACCCTTGGTAAACAAGGCGTCCTGATCCGGTCATTCTGGTTCACTCACTACGTGTGCTTCTGCGCCATCACGGTGGTATATATATATACCATTCAACAATGTCAGCTGTCCTCGTATCCTGATGCCTCGCGGTGTATGGAGGATAAAAGTTACCTGTGTTCATTATTCAACCTCGCTGAGGCTTGTCAGCAACATCTTGCCGAGGCTACCCGCAAGAACTGCCCAAGCCGTCGCTATAGCATCATTCTTGGGGAACTCAGATTGGAGGCACGTAGACAGACCGGTTCATATCTATGTCCAGATGCTCCTGCAAATACGTCACAACCGCTTGCCACTACAGCTATCCAAGACCAAGCCTGTACGGTTGAAAGAAATGCGAACCAAGCAGATATTCCACAACCTCTCCCGTCGGCTTCTCGCTCTGCAAATAATCCAGATACCTTTGCACCCCCAGACATAGTAGATGAAGCCTTTGATTTTAGCGAGGACTTTGGGCTTCTGGATAATTTAGAAGGACTAAATTGGTGGACTCAACTGGACTCTTGGGTGCGTTTACACTTATGCTACACTTCGATGTTACTATACCTCGGCACATCACTGACACTTGCATAGGCATTTTCAAACCTTTCAGCAGAACCCTCAAACCTGGGTCTGTGAACCTCAGGTCACAGTTCAAAAAAGACCGAAGCCTATTACTTATGGCCGTTGCTGGCTGGTGTATATGTAATATCATTATTCTAGGATATGATTATTTGAAGAGCTCAAAACCAAACCTGAAAGTTTGACTATTGTTATTCACTTGGCTTCAATCAATCTCTTATATTATCTCTTCTGCCAAAGCCAGAAACCTAGAGCCAGTGTCCAGCTATGAATATCTAGTTCTTACCTACTTTCTTAAATTTCTTATATACATTATAAGCGATATTTTTAAATGCATATTATGTAGTAGGTAAAGCCTATCACTCTAGAGGTACCGACATCAGCCGCCACAGTGGTCGCGTGACTGGATATAGAAGAACTACCGGGCAATGAAAACAACCACTTTAACTGAAAGCGGTTATTGCGATATAATGGGTATTGCTACATGATCTACGTACTTGAACTCTGGGGATTTTGACCTATTGAGGCTTGCCACCATATGCCGCCGGATAAATATCCGAGGCTGCCTTGAGCATTTTCCGAGTGCACCAAGATGAAGCCTATCCTAAGAACCGGAACCTATGATGGAATTGGTTAATTTCCGAGGCAGCCATAGGTCGATTGCAACCTACTTAAGCCGTTTATTTCCACTCCATCTTCAGTTACCTCTGTAATGCCTAGTGCAAACGAGAATACCTTTCTACAACACGCTGGAGTCTCCAGTGACGAATGTATCGAAGATGATCACTGCAACCGCCCCCCATAGTACACCATTGCCGAAGCCGATATTGAAAAATGCGAGTTTCAACCATGACCCGGATCAGATGCCACTCACAGTCGACGAGCTCGTCCGAAGCCGTGCGTCTCTTGGTTCAGAACAACCGGTGATATGCTATCCAAGGACTGGCATTGAATATGTGGACTACCCTTTGCGCCAACTAGACATCTTTGCCTTTCGGGTCGCTGGCGCCATGGCTGCTAAGGTCCCGCCTCGTGCTTCCTCGAGGGAGACTCCAACAGTTGTTTCGCTGTTGGGAACCTCCGATCTCAGCTACCTTGTCATGCTCCTCGCTGTGGCGAAGCTAGGACACACCGGACTGCTTCTCTCGACCCGGATTTCTATTGAAGCGTATGTGTCATTGTTAGAAAGAACAAGCTCGCGCCATATTTTCATCCATGAATCTTTTAAAGCCACGGCTGAGGAGCTCAAGCAACGGCTGCCAGATCTGCAAGTTGAGGTGATTCCAGCACAGGGATCCTTCGATTTCCCGATTCCAGACGAGGATGTTGATACGAACATGGTCCCTTGGTTAGACCCTGTGGCCGAATCCAAACACCTGGCGTGGATTATTCACTCCAGTGGCTCCACTGGCCTCCCGAAGCCAATCTACCAGACTCAAGCAGCTGCCGTCAGGAATTATTCTGGTCATATGAACATGTCTGGATTCATCACTTTACCACTGTACCATAATCATGGAATCAGTGTACTTTTCCGGACAATCTACTCATCAAAGAGACTCTATCTCTACAACGCCGAGCTTCCGCTCACCAGACAACACCTGCTTGATATCATGCAAGCACATCCTCTCGAAATCTTCTACGGCGTACCGTATGCCTTGAAACTGCTCGCTGAGACAGAGGAAGGTATCGCCGCGCTTGCACAGTTCAGGGCGGTTATGTTCGGGGGGTCTGCGTGCCCGGACTCGCTGGGAAATCTGCTCGTCGAGAACGACGTCAATCTCATAAGTCACTACGGATCGTACGTATACTTGGGCATAAAGGTTGACCTTTGGCTAACTTAGACCGCAGGACGGAAACTGGTCAGCTAATGACCTCCTTCAGGCCGAAGGAGGATAAGGAATGGGATTACCTGAGGCCTTCAGAGGTAGTGAAAAAATATCTGCGATTCGAAGAGCGCTACCCGGGGATTTTTGAATTGGTTTGCCTCGATGGCTGGCCTTCGAAGGTCATTTCTAATCGACCAGATGGGTCCTATGCTACCAAGGATCTGTTTGTGAAGCACCCGACCCTGGAAGCGTATAAGTATTACGCTCGGCTAGATGACACGATCGTTCTCGTCAATGGAGAAAAGGTTAACCCCCTCGATATGGAAGGAAGAGTCAGACAACTCAATACAATCTCCGAGGCTATTGTTTTTGGAGCAGGCAAGGCCAGCATCGGATTGGCGGTTGTCCGTGCGCCTGGAACTGCCTCCATGTCTGATCAGGAACTTATTGCGAGTATCTGGCCCGCCGTCGAGAAGGCGCATGAGGCAATGCCAGCGTACGGACAGCTCTCAAAAAGTATGGTCCGCGTACTACCAGAAGATACACCTTACCCGCGCACGGACAAGGGAACCATCATCCGACAAAGATTCTACAAAGAATTCAGTAATCTGGTCGAAGAAGCATATGAGGCGGAGGATGCCATGAGTGGATCGCTTGTCCTATCCGAAACGGAGCTCAAGGCCTTCATCAAGGATCAATTACGTGATATTCTTGCGCATAGAAAGGAAGATGAATTGACGGAAGATACCGACTTCTTTGCCCTTGGGATGGACTCCCTCCAGGCTACCCAGCTTCGATCTATCCTGATGAAGACCCTCAATACCAACGGCCAAAAGCTTGGCCTGAATGTGGCGTTTGAGCATCCTACGATCAGGTCCTTGGCTCGCTATCTTGATTCCCTTAACTCAGGAGCTACAACAGAGGTCCAGTCCGTGGAAGACCAAATGGCCGAATTGATATCGAAGTACAGCGACTTCCAGCAACACATTCCAATGTCGAATAGGTTAGACGGAAGATACATTGTAGGTTTTGTGAACCATCCCCCGAAGAGTCGAAGCTGACGCAATGTAGGTTATCACAGGCGCTACAGGTTCATTAGGAGCTCATGTAGTCAGAAAGCTTGCCGTCCGTCCAGAGGTGCGGAAGATCTACTGTCTTGTCCGTGCCGGCTCACCAATCGAAGCCTACAGTCGCGTACTCCGATCCATGAGCGATCGCCGCGTGTTTGATGGCCTTACGGACGCCGCTAAGCAGAAAATCGTTGCTCTTCCATCCGACCTGTCGCAGCCTACTTTGAGCCTGGATGCTATAACATATAACACGTTGACCTCGGAGATCACGGACGTCATCCACTGCGCCTGGTCTGTGAACTTCAACATGCACCTCAGCAGTTTTGAAAAGGACAATGTCGGAGGTCTCAAGCATCTCCTGGATCTATGTCTCAAGGCCCAACGACCAGCCCCAGCTTCATTCAACTTCTGTTCCTCGATCAGCTCGGTGGTGGGCACAGCTGAAGATGACATTCTCGAGGCACTCCCCAAGAAGCTCTCATATGCCCAAAACATGGGTTATGCCCAATCAAAGCTTGTCAGCGAACACATATGCATAAACGCCGCACAACAAGCGGGCATTTGTGCGAGAGTGCTCCGAATCGGCCAGGTGATTGGCGACCAAGACCACGGTGTCTGGAACGCAACAGAGGCCATCCCCCTCATGCTACAAGCCGCAACAACTATCGGGGCACTCCCGAAACTCAACGAGTCGCCTCTGTGGCTTCCGGTGGACACTGTTGCGGGCACAGTCATCGACATTTCCCTCTCCAGCACGGCGGTCTCCAAGCCCGACTCAGAGCTTGTCTTCAACATCGTCAGCCACCATCCGTTCCACTGGACAAAGGACCTCCTCCCGTATGTTCGCAATGCAGGTCTTGAGTTCGAGGAGCTGGAGCAACAGGACTGGATCCATCGTTTGAGAACTTCGAACCCAGATCCTGTCGCCAACCCGCCTATCAAACTTGTTGATTTCTTCGCAAGCAAATATGACACGGATAAGCCACGACGGTCGTTCAACTGGCATACTGAACGGGCAAGGGAAGTGTCAACTATCTTAGCAGATGCAAAGCCTCTGGATCAGGAGCTTGTTGGAAAGATGATAGGATATTTCCAGAAGGAGTGCTGGTCTTTGGAGAAATGATGTGATTTGAGTTTTGTATTTTCATGCTGTATCTACTTTTTTTTATATATATATTTTTATATTTAGAAATTGGGTTTGATGATTTAATTAACTCGATTAGGGTTGCCGCTAGCGCACTTGTTGCCCCGTTTGGGCTTAGTTGATTTTCTCTTTCTACTGAAGCGTTGATCATAACTGGAAAATAACTTTACTCTTCTATACTTCTCTCTCATCCGAATACCCCGAAAGAGTTCTTCTTAGATGACCATATACTATGCGATGTATGCGCCGCTACCTCCACGCCCCCGGAAAACCAACATTAGCAGAAGCAAAAACGGTTGCGTTCCTTGTCGGCGGAAGAAGCGCAAGGTAGATGGGAATCCCGTCGATATCAGACGTATGTGCAATTACTGATGTTCCTCGTGGTCAGTGCGATGAAGCTCAGCCACAATGTGTCCGATGTGCTCGTACAGGGGCTGTGTGCTGGTTCCAACAGATACCGCTACGGTTTCGCTCCGTGGATACGAATCAAAGAATAGGGTCGAGTGACTCGAAGGATAATCGGTTGGAAAATAATGGGATAACTATAACAGTACCCTCTAAGCCTAGGCAACATGGTGTTCGGCAGGGGCTATATGGTTGCAGCTCCGATACACGCGCAGACAACTGCTCGATTTCACATAACCTCCTGGAGCCTGCTGCGCCGTCATATGAGAAGAGACAACTATCCCTACAAGAAAACCCTGTAGACATGGCTAGTGAACAACTATATTTGTCCTACTTCACAAAGGAACTGATGAGCACGTTGCCCGAAAGCATCCGAGCGGTTGCCTCTAGAATGGCAGAACCATCCGGTCTTCGTGAAGCTGCCATTGCCCTCTCCGCTGCCCGACTAGCATCCATCGAAAGCGAACCACAACTGTTACCGCTACGGAAACCTCGTTTACAGCATTTTTCCGAAGCTCTTAGTCACTTTATCGCCGCGGTCCAGCAGATCCGGTCACATCCTACGGATATAGAAAATATGCTTGCCGCAGCCATACACCTAGTTCTCTTCGA